CAAGAGGTAAAAAGGAAGAACTTCCAACTGTCTAATTTCTAAGTTGATTTAAATCTTAGTGTTAGTAATTCAATTAACTTTAAGACATTCAAGCAATAGTTACCAATATTAATAAATAAAAGATTTAATGAAATTACTATGGTTTTCAAGGCTATTTACATGATCTCCATTTAAATTTCAATGGTTTATTTAAGATCATTTATATAATCCTTAATTACTAATTTTTATATGATTACAAAAGTATAATTAATTAGAATAAATAAATAAATAAATAAATAAAATTTATAAATTATTATTCTTTAAATAACTAAAGATAAAAGTATTTGATAAAATTATTACCATTAATCTATAGTAAAAGTAAAAAATCTTAAAGATAAAGTTCAAAATTAAAATTAAAAATTAAAATTAAAATTAAAAGTCAAAATCAAAAGTAAAAGTTAAAAATAAAAGAAAGAAGATAAATGGTTAAAAGTTAAAAATTAAATCTAAAAGTTGAAATATAAAAGTTAAAAATTACTATAAAAATAAAAGTAGAAGTGGAACTAAAGAGAGATAAAAGCAAAGATGCCTTGATAACGCCTAAGAATTGAGGGTAGTAAATCCTTACTACTCCAAAATTTTCTAAAAATCGTCATTAATTCCAAATTTAATGATTTTTATATTTTTTCATAGGTAAAATAAAGGCGCCCATATTCTAATATATTTAAATTCAATCCAATACCTAAGCCACGAGAAATTCTCCTTCAAAGTTGAGTGACCAAGTCTGCCGTAGCGGGCAACCTTCTTCTACTTGAAAATTAACCAAAATATCAATTCATTTTCAAATTCAGTGTAATTTATGCCATTAAAAGATCAGCTTAAAGATGCACTTAGTTCCAAAATTTCAAAATAATCCAATCAGAAAGCACTTAGAAATGTCTTTTCAAAGATGGATGATCTAAACTACTAAGGCAACCGATACACTCGCACTTCAAATTCTACAAAAATTTCGTCATTATTTCAGATCAAGCGATCCTTACCTTATTGGAAAGCTAAAGCCGAAAATCATAATTAAAAAAAATTAAATTGACATTCAAAAAATGGAATGACTGATTGAAGGAAATCTGAAATTCTTAAATCCTTGGGATATTTGGGAGGCTGAGGGAGCTATCTATCACAATGACCTATGTCTTAAAATACAATAACCATCATTCACTATTAAAGATCTATGCTTACACAATCACAAAGTTCAAAATAAGATTAAAAATCAAAAAATAAAATTAAGATTAAGATTTAGAGTCAAAATTCAATATGGCTTTGTCCTTCACCAAAAGAAGAGAGAGAGAAGGCTTGGAGAACCAAGCCACTCTTATACAATTGAGTGGTGGCTTGTGGAAGGGCGGCCACATCTCTACCCTTGATATCTAAGATCCATAATGTAGATCTATGACCTTTATTCATCCAAAAGCTAATTTTGTTACTAAGGCTGATGGTTCTTGTAAGTAGTTAAAAAAATACTTTTTGGTAAGTTCACCATTGAGTTTAAATTACCTTTTTATGCTAGGATCGACTAGCCACATGTCTCAATCCATACTCAATTGCAATTTTTATGAAAGTTTTTACCTCCAGGGATCTTGGTAATTCCTATAAAATTCTTCAAAATGAGAATTTCATTCTTCCACTTGTATTTTGAAGGAAAGAATATTGATCTTATTTTGTTCACTCCATGGACTAAATCCAATGCCACCATTGCATTAAAAAATCTTATATTAATTAAAAGAACTACTATGTCGCTTGAAATTTTTGATGTTGGAGGAAATTTCAAAATTGCCATTCACTAACTTCATTAGATCTTTTAAAAAATTATAATTCTAATTCACTCTAAATCATATGAAATAATTGTAGGTAAACTCATAGGCTTTTAGTCAACCCTCATAGTAGTGACTAACAACTTCTAAATTATTAAAATTAACTAAGATGTTATTCTAATTTTTTAACTTTTATTACTTTGATTCTAATTAATCTAACTCAAAGAATTAGGCTATGATTTATACCATCAAAGGTTGCAATCTTAAAAATTCTATAAAACTAAATTCTACTTATATAAATCTTAATCTAATATATTCAATTATTATAAAATAAGAAAATAACAAAAATTTAAATTTTAGAGTATAATTGAGAACTCACAACCTTTATTAGGTGTTATACAAGGTTCTAGCCGCACGGTCCCTATTACAGGTAGAAAAACTCATCTTCAAACATACTATCTTCTTTAATAGCCATATTCCTCATTTTGTAGCTTTGTTGTATCTTTGGACAATATTAAGCAAAATACTTAGGTTTTTACAATACAAGCACAATTCTTCTTGATAATGACAAGTTTTTTCTAGCTCAGTAAGAAATTTAAAACATATTATATAAATTTGTATATCTTCTACTTTTAAATGTATGTATTGAAGAGATGTTGGTATTACCATTGAATTATAATAATGTTGAGGCACACTTATACAATTTTTAGATTAAAATTCAGAAAATTAATTGTCATACTTGACAACAAAGTCAATTGCTTGACTTAATATTTGAAGATCACTTTGAGCATCAATTTTTTTTATTTCATATTATAATCTATAGAAAAATTGAATAACAAGTGTAACATCATTCTACTTGATATTAATTCCAAGTTGTTGAAATTATGAAGCATATAATATTACTAATTGATTGTCTTATCACAGTATATGAATTTTGTTGGTTACAACACAAATTACATTATGTTTTTCATATATGGATTAAAACTTCATCAAAAAAACCTCCAAATTATCCAATATTGGATCTCATCATTCAAATAAAGATAAAAACTATGATAATGCTAAATCTATAAAAAGTGTATTAATGAATCTAACTTGCGATCTTCGAATTGAATAGCTTTGGATTTGAAGTTTAATTATAAGTTGTATTTGATTGATAAATCCTTGAAACTTGGATCTTGTACCATCAAACTTCTTAACTAGTGTAATCCTTAATTTTCTAATATTAGAAGGATATTCTACCATAAGAGAAGGAATATGATTTAGTATAGATGTTGAAGCAGCTTCAATCATATCTACATCTTTGCTCTTTGTTATTTTTGTTGTTCCTTGTAGTAGTAAATTGAGTTGATGTATTACAGGTATTAATTCCCTCAATTGCTATTGCATTTGTGCCATTGCACTCTTCATTTTAGGAAGTTGTGCCATGATAATACTTAGAGAAGAAAAGATGTTTAATATTGTTGAAGATAAATTGAAGAAAGAACTTGAAAATAAAGAATTTATTAAGGACAATATCAATTTAAAAGAGAGTAATCTGCAACTTTTAATACACTTATGTCTTATCAAAAAAATAATAATAATTCACTCTTAAACAAGAAAAGACAGAAATCTGATATTGCAAGTGTACTCTTGTCAATTTGTCAAGGACAAGAACCTGATAAAAGCAAATAATCAAGGAAAACTTTTTTCAAAGAAATATGATAAAATAGAAGTAAGAAAATATATATATTAAAAGGAAATTGGAATGGCTATTAAAAAAAGACAAAAAAACTAAAGACTCTTGAATCTACATTAGAACTAGAAAGGAATTGATAAGTGTGAAGAAAGCTTCACTCTTGTCTCTATATATATTATCCACCTAAGAGCTACATAGCAACATTCTATAGGACCTCTAATATGTGTTGATTTTGCAAGCCACATATCTTAACTTACAAAGCAAGTTTTCTATATGTGCACTATATAGTTAACTTGTTCTACAAGCTACTTACAGGTGTGACATGTGGCTAACTTATTGACAAAGTTTTTAATCTAAAAATCAACTAAAAACATGTATAAAGTCAAAACTGTATCTATAAAGCTTCTAGGAAGCTTTTCTTGAAGATATTATGAAATTAATATATTTTTATCTACTTCTATCTAATCATATAGGTAATTACTAAAATAAATATGTATGTCTATGATAATATGTTTATGACATTCGATTAGAGAGACCATCTTCCTAGAAAGTGACAATGCAATTGATGGACATTTCACCAAAGTAGGCTTATCTTCTACCTCATGAAGGATGTATTTGGACTCATCTCTAAAAACATTGAGAAGTTTTTGAATGAGGCTAGGAAGTGAGTGGAATCTCTAGTATAGAATGAGATGTTTTGGACCTTGCATCTCAAATGTCTAGCCTTTCTCAATCATGTAGAGGTGAAGTTGAAGCTCACTAAGATCAGTCGACACGTCGATGTCCTTCAAGAGATATATTAGAATCCACATATAACACAAATTTTGGATTGGATTGTGATATTCAACTCATGTTTAATAAGGAGTTGTGTTCATTTGATTGATTTACCATTGAAGAGTTGTAATTAATATTTGAAGGGCCTACTCCAATCCAAAATTTGTATCATATGTAGATTCTAAACATTCCTAAAATAATATTCCATAGATTTTATAAGTGCCTCTTAGCTAATAAAATATGAGATTGGACAACAATTATTTTATGTAAATTAACCACAATATCCAAAAAATAGTGACTACAAAAAGTTTTTTATAAAAACAAGCCTATTTTGGAAGAAAATTTTCTTAAAGATTCAAAAAACTTAAAACACTATGGTCTTTGCTTAGAAGTTATTCCCTTATGATAATTCAGATGCAATACAACAAATTGATTTGCATCAATAAAGTATAGATTAATCATCAAACAAAGAAACTTGTCTTATCCAATCTCATAGGATATAACAATATGCTATAGAATCTCTTCAATAAAAAAAAATAAATGGTTGAATGACCTTAATGGGAGGTTGGGATAGAACTTGGATGACAAGTTAACTCTCAATAGTAGACATGACATGGAGTCAGACATTGGACTCGAGCAAAATCAAGCAATCCAAACAATAATTAAGATTTCCACCTTCTAGTTCCATCAAAATATCCATGGAATCCTGTCTAAAAAGTTGCGGATCTTCATCAATTTAAGTATTTCCAAGTTAACAATAGTGATAATGTCTTCAAACACATCCCATTGATAAGGGTGAAATACAACAGCGGAAGGCGATATGTTTTATATATGACTGTTGGCCAATTGAAAAGTTCAAGACTCTGAACTTAAATCCAACCCCTAAATGTAGGTCAACTGAAAAACTAAAAGGTCGACTGCGATGCCGAAGTGTCCTGCTAGTACTAGCCAAGATGACGCTGTATTCTACATAGTAGCCAAACTGTATCTACAAAAACCTCTATACCTCGGAATGTAGGCAGTAAACAAATACCCAACTCTTTAAACTGCAGGACAATCACAAATATTTAACTCTAAAGTCTTGAAATTACAAACTAAAGTTACTTGAATCACAGAAAAAAGCACGAAGAGTGCAGCAAGGTGTCATCTATACGACTTCTGGAACAACCCTTCACGGCTTGATACATTTGATGGAGGCATGCACCCAAATACATGCTTGTAGCTAAAAAGCTGACTGGGAATCGAAAGCTGCAAGGAAACAAAAAAACGCTACTGGTAAGATAGGTGAGGTACGTAATGTGGCACGAAAGGAAGAGAGTTTAAAGACGAGAAATCTGCAGAAGAGGTTAACACAAGCTATACGGGTCAGCTAATAAAGACGAATTCACCATTTCATGACTCATGGCAGGGACCAATGTCACATTTTCATAATAAAAGCTTTCGAGTTGTGAAGGAGAATCCACATGTGGATGTGGAGATGAATTTCGAGAACAGTCCACTCGTCTCTAACAGAAAACGAGAATTACTTGTAACTAGTGAAAACCAAAGAAAGAGGGCAAAGGTTCATACCTTGAGAAGTTTCTTCCAGGGTGGGTCTTTGACTTTTAGAAAGAACCTGCCTTCCACCCGGTACAGTCCTTGTGACAGTTGAGACTCCATCGACAAATTTGGTCCGGAAGATGACATTTGCATTATTAAACATGCCCTCCTTCAACGACACTACGATGAACTGACCAAAATTACAACACAGGCACAATGTAAGTGCCTTGATATCTTATAACTTCACAAAAGGTCGCGAGTTAAGTAGATAGGATTAACTGCTACTCAAGACTATCACTAAAAACTCGACAAATGACAGGACATTTAACTTTCGTACCTGCGAGTGTGGAAAGTGTTCTTTGATCATTCTACCTATGTTCTGTGTGTGACTCAAATCAAGAGCAGCGTCCACCTGCAAGACGTCAAGCACACAATTCCTTTTACCAATGTCCCGAAAATTTATACCGTTTCTCTTAAATAGATCTGCAACAGAAAGGTTGAAATGGATTATGCAGCTAACTTCAGTCACATCAGGCAAAGTTTCTAGGATTTCCTCTCTCGCTCTCTCTGTCACTACACATATATATATATATATATATATATATAAGTCTACAAATCTTCCAAGCAAATACAAAGTTCGTCAAGAACAGACCTCATCGAGAATGTATAAAGGAGCTGGTTTGAACAAGAGCAAGGCGAGGACGAGGGAGAGCGCCAACAAGGATCTCTGGCCACCACTGAGCTCTGAAAGCGATTGCTTCCATACACCTCCAAATGCAACCTTCACTTCGAGACCATCCAAAAAACTTGCACCCTCCGGAGGTTCAAGTTTAGCCGTTGTACCGGGTAACAGTGTGGAGAATATTTTGCCGAAATCTCTGCAACAAAGGTTAAGGTGAGGTTTGCGTAAATCATCATACACCGGAGAATCCACAGTGATGTTCTAGAACCTGCAGCTATTTAGATACCTCAATTCAGGTGCGCATTTTTTTTTAACATTTAAGGATGGTGGCCAGTATTTTAGTAAGAAGATCATTACAGTCACATGCACTTTTGAGTAGCACACTTCGAACTCTGACAGAACTAACATAGGAACAAGCAAAACCTCATTCGAATTACAAGAATCGAATTATGATAGCTGCTCGAAAACCGACAACCAACAACTTACTTAGTCACGCTCTTCCAGGTGCCCTCTAGAACCTCTTTTTTCTTCTCGTCCAACTCATGAATAACTTTCTGGATTTTCGCCTTGTCAGCCTGTAAAGACAGCCCTTGTCATCAACTTCAAATCATGCAAGTGAATCTTGAACTCACACCCTAAAACCTACTTCATGTCCAAAATGTCCGCGTGAAGCTGAGTAACTCAAGGATCTCATTTCTGAACACGATCAGTTCAATATACTAGCACAATGTCAAAGAAAGGCTATATCGTTAAGGCTGGCTAGGCTTACATCACATTACGGTCATTAGTGAATTCCAGTGTCATAAACTTTCGAAAGCACTTGTGTGTCTAGGTACATTGCAAAGTGACATTATATAAGCTACTGGTACTCTTGAGCAAATCAGCATGTGCATCAAAAAAATAAGAACCAAGCTCTCTGATAAACACCTCAACAATCCTTCGTTTGTCCAAAAGATCAATGTAGTCCTTTTCGGCTTGAACAAACATAGCCTCTGCTTTTTTGTTGACTCGCTTTTCAAGACTGCAGCACCAAGATTAACCCATGGCTTCAGATTGTAATAGATTAGGCAGGCCAAACAATGCCCCACGATTTGAAAGACGCAGCAATAATTGGTTTCAAATACACAGGCATGAGGACCAGTATCGACATCCAAGCTAACTATAATATCTGCCTATGGTGGTTAGAAAGAAGAACGGGCATACTTCTTCTGCTCTGTTTGTAAAGCATCAAGCTCCTGACGAGCAGAATCGTAATCTCGAGTGGAAAAGTCAAATTCTGTCCCAGGTTGATTAAATAGCTGCTTCACAGTAGCAATCCATGGATGGGTCTCCTGCAACTTCTCCACGGTCTTCCTACAGTCAAGTTGCTCTCTTTCCATGCGTTTCACCTGTTCATATTAAAACATAAAAGATGTTTAAACCTTTCACATTCATCATACCCATGTCTGATTGAATATTTTAAGACAGGAAATTCTGCACATAATGCGCCAAGCATTCACATTGTATTAAAGCTCGACAATAATTGTTCAATAGACTAGCTTTAACAGAGCATTAATTCAGTACTTGCACTCATCTATCATAACTGCACAGTAGAGTGAAAAGTAAAAGGAGAATTTTGTTACAAACCTCATTATCAAGTCTCTTCTGACTTAGAAGGCAGTCTGTAAGCTCTTGCTTCCGAGCAGCCTGCTCTTTGATCAAGGCACTAATTTGGTTGTCGCAGGCTTTCATTTTCTCTCGGTTCTTGGTAAGTTCGCCATTAGCCTTTGTAAACTCAGATTCAATAGCGTCTCTCTGGCACACAGAGTAGAAACCAGGTAGTACAATATGAGTGTAAGCGTATTTTCAACTTTGCGACGCTGGCATTGGCTGTTTAGCAATAAAGCCAAGTACATATAGGGTTGACCTTAAAGCATGCACTTCTTGCCAAGTTTTTAACAGGTTCATAAAAGGCCTCTAAAGTTCCTCTACAATACCAAGCATTCTTTTACGATGTCCTCAAAAACAACTAGAAAATGAAGGTGAGAAATAAAGCTGGAAAATTACATAGCCCAATGCAAGTTTTTAGGTGGGCTATAAATAGATATACAACCGTCTGTTAGAATAGGATATGCATTTCATCATGACATCTTCACTTGCCAAGAAAGCTAGGTATCCACTGGTACAGTGAAGTTACCTTGGATTCCATCTGGCCGAGAGTATCCACAAGAACCTTGATCTGGGCTTCCATTGCACTGATTTCTGCGTTCAATGTTTGCATTTCTTCGATGGCCAAGTCTTTCTCCATAATTAGCCTTTCTCTTGCAGCCTCCTGCGTCTAGTACCACAGAAATAGAGCAGAACAAGCCTTTAGATCGATGATCACTGAAGGAATCCAAGAGTTGTGACACTATTCAAAACAGTAGATTTAAGTCACTGAAGCCCTCAGGTCCCAAAAAGTACAATTAAAGTTTAGCTAGTTGAAGACCTATTACCTTGAACTCCTTGGAGACGGAGGCTAACTCCTTCTTCAGTGACTTGATCTCCTTTTCCAAGGCTATAAGACGGTTTTCCCGATCTCGGCCATGATTGTTAATGGCTTCAGACAAAGTAGACACACTGTTCAGACATTCTTTGTGATCTGTTTCTTTCTTCACTAGCTCAGCTTGTTCAGTATCCAGCTCAGCGGTCATAGTTGCGACTACTTCAGCCAACTGTTCAATACACCCAATCAAGGTAACATAAGCTGACAGTGAAAGCGTATACATTAACATACATTTTGCAAGTATACGAACTATATGTGTACAAATCACTTAACAACGAATACGTACCTTGTGGTGCTCGCTTTGCTCGGCTCGGCCTTCAAATAGAGAGAGATCATAAGTCTTAAGCTCCAATTGCGATTTGAGCTCAAGAAATTTCTTTTGCACAGGAGCCAGAGATGCAATCTGCAAGCAACAGCATCGTAGAAACGCTTTGACTTCGCTGAATGATCATTTAACCACTAGACAACGTTGAAAGTACTTTTAAGTACCGCCACTTTGTTGGTCCCTTGATTGACATAACTGGAAAGTCCAACATGCAATTTGTATTCACCAAAATGAAAAGAAGCTAGTGGAATCATCAGCAGCGGGTATTAACTTCACTTTCGATCTCAGAAAGATTCTGAGTATGCTGAGCCAGAATTGCCTCAGCTTCTGCCAGAGCATGAAGGCGCTTCAAGAGTTCACCACCACCTCTGCACAATAAGAGTATTCACATGGTCACAACAACGAAAAAATTACTCCAAGAACAGGAGTGAGAAGTTCTTGAACCATTTGTCAGTTCATGCCACCCTTAAAACTTCTTACTTGCGGGATCCTCCTGTGAGAAGGCCCCTTGGCTCAAAGATATCTCCTTCCAGGGTAACCGATCTTGTCATCACATCTTTGTGAAATGCCACCTACAAGGATTGGAAAAGTGTTTCAATTAGCTGGCAGAAATCAAACGCTTTGGGCAAGAAAGACTAACTGAAGGAACAGCATATATACGGAATAAGATGTGGGGGATATAATCAGATGTATTGGTTCAATTGCAATCTATATGATGATTATTTAGACAGCAATAAGACCACAAAACCCGCATATATTCAAACAGACACGATATCAATAATTCCAACAATGAGCTTGTACAAGAATCACCTGCTTGGCTGTGTCCATGTCAGTGCACACAAATGTGCCTCCAAAAACAAAGGCCATAGCAGCCTGGCATACGAACAATCGGGTAACAACTGTCAGAAATGCTCACAAATAATACCATGGAATGATGATCTTCATGTTTCACAAATGTACAGGTCCAAGGTTCTAGAAACAACGTACAAGAGGATGAACATACCTCTATTTCTTCTTCGTAACCGACAAGGGACAATGCAGTTCTTGCGTTTTTAGGTCCCACCTGGCAACAGAACGAGGTAATCATTACAAGTAGACTGTACACTCCTGCACACATAATGAATAGCTGAGTATTAATGACTGATACAAAGAAGTAAAACTTACCAGTTTTTTAGCTGCTGCAAGAGCTCTTTCAGGCACTCCTGAAGCCTGGATCTTGTTGAGGGGGATAATAGTGATCCGACGCTGGAGACCACCTTTCTCTAGCAGCAGCTTGCCAGTTTGCTCACTATCCACAACTACGTTGAACATTTTTCCTCCAGCTGTCACCTGATTGAGTGGGCCGCAACATTTTTAAAAATTACGAAACAAAGGCGAATGGAACAACGAAAGAACCTTCAATTTAATTCAGAAATTTAAATAACCTCCACAACATCTAGAAAATCAGGTCATGGTAACCACTGGTAGAATACATGATCACGAGTAATTAGAAATTACATAGAATGATTCAAGAGAATTCACCTCGAGTGCTGTCATTGTAGAGGGATCCTTCACTTTGAGGAGGCGCGCTACAACTCCTTTCACCTTAGAGCGGTCGAAGTCTCGGGATGGATTATTGTAAGAGAATTGCACACCATTAAGCTCACCAGTGAGAGTGCTCACGTCTGCCTTGAGTTTTCTCACAATTTCAATCTCATCACCACGGGCCTGCCAAGCGATCGCCAGCGCTATCAATTACCTCCAGAGGATCACAACAAGCCAGAGACTGATATCGTGCATTTACTGTGAAGTGTGCACCAACTACAAGCCATCAAAAGAATAGAGGCTGTCGTTCAAATCCAGAAGAACTGCATATCAGAGGAAACTTAAAGTTGCTGTCCAAAGAGATCAGTTCAATGCTGGTTTAAAATCGAACACCTTCGTCTAAAAAAGTGAAAAATACATTCATAGCGTTTTATGCATCCAGGCATTAGTGCCATTAATTACTGGTTGTGACGATGGTAATTCAGCCATTCTAGAGAACAGCACTGCATCAGAGTTTTGAAGTAAGCAATATTGTTCGAGCGAAAAGATACAAGAAAGCGGACTTTAATCACCTTATCGAGTTTAGTCATGCGCTCTTCATCGAATCCCAAACTTTGCAGAGCTGACGTGATTTTCTTAACCTCGACTGTTCGCATTTCATGTTCCTTCTCTATAGATGTGGCCTCCTTCTGTTTAGATGATAGCTGAGTCCTCTTCTCCTTCAATTCTTTCTCGAGGTGTTTGATTTTCATCTTACTCTGCTTGACCTCAGTGGCGGCTTTGCCAACCGCTGTATTGGCATCGACAAGCTGATCTGCCAAGCTCTTTTGATCTCCGCCGCTACTCTTCCCTGCTTGTACACCCTGTTCAAGTAATTTACGTCAATCGTGCAGATTTTACATCGGAGCTGGTCGTAGACTGAAACAGACTTGGCAGAAATGATTTTCACATGGACTACTCAAAAAGTCGTGCTCTCAGAAAATAAGAAACCATTAGGAGCATAGGATCATACAGAGTTGTGCAAATGTATTTGATTCAAGTATCCAACCAGGTCACATCCATCTGCAACATTCGTTACAATAATTTTCAAATAAATGTCAGGTAATCGAGCGCATACCTGGTAATCGGCCTCTCTCTCCGCCAACCTCGTTGTCAAACTTTCAACTTTCTGGGTGAAAGCAGATGCGTCTTCTTCAAATTGACGCACAGCATCGTCTTTCTCAGCCACCCCTTTCTCCAGCTCACATAAAGCTTTTTGTGACTGAGACACACAATGCACAGAACAGTGACAACCTTAAGTTTAAAGAACCGATGAAAGTCACTTTTTACGTAATGCACGCTCCTGGTAAAATCTATAGTGCAATTTCCTTCCTAGTCATGAGTGACATTGATTGAGAGTACCTTGGCAACAGATTTTTTCTCAACTTCTAAGCTGTCTTTCTGATTGTTAACAGCCGAGCCGACTTTCACAAGCTCCTTCGAAAGTTTATCCACCATTTCAGACAGAACTTTAAAATCACTGCTCATGTGTTTTTCTTTTTCCTCTGTCATTGCAGCAATTTTACCCTCCATTTCTGTAACCCCAGCTTCAATCTTGAAGTACTCCTCTTGCAACTCCGCAATCTTTGACTTACGGTCAGAGATCTCAGAGAGTGCTGAGTTCTTAACCTATTCAACACCACCCCAGTCGATTTGAATACAACATTCAATGCACAATTTTCTCGACAATATGAAATGTGTACTCTACGGTGACATCTATTATTAGAAAAATACTACTGACCGGGATAGTGACCGAGGAATCATTGACACACCTGATCAGCACTGGAGTACTGATAAGCAATACAGAAGCGCTTCAGACGTTCAAGTTGCCCATTCCCGGAAGACCACTGCATATATTGAGCACGCTCTTTACGAAGTTTCTCGAGGGCAGGCAAAATATCATGGTTCAGCACATTATCAATCTCATCCACCTTCATTTGTTTCTTTTCAAGTGTTTTCAGGGCCCCTTCTTTTTTCATCTCATACATTCGAGTCCCTGCCGCTTCCTCCAGCATGGACAATGTCTCCTGAGGCTTCATGTTAAGAACCTTTGTTATCCGACCTTGCATAATAAGAAAATGTGGGTTGTTCACATTGAGCTGGACTGAATGGAAAAGATTTTGCACTTTGCTTGGCTGAGCGAGGTGTCCATTGATGAGGTACTTGTTCCGACCCCCAACCACAATCTGTAAACCCAATTTTAAAACGTAAATTCTCTTGAAGTAAACACTAAACCACGGCAGAAGTCATGCGGTAATGCCAACATCGAAGTGAAAAGTTGGCAATTCATCAACAGACATTTCAGTTCCATGGCACCCGAATAGGGAGGGTCCGCATTGAAGCAGCAGGTTAATTGGGCTCCGATCGTCTGTACAGTGATCAAATGTTTCAATCATTGTACAACCGCGAAACTGCAACTTTGCATTCTACTAGGAGCCCCGAGCATCCCTTCGACGAAATATCAGAAGAATATGTAAACTACGCCTCTCCTTCTATGAACCGCGACACTGCTTAAAGTTCTAAATATCTAAGATGGCGTATGTTCCGAACACGGGACTCTCCAGAAGATCATTTTTTAGTAGCCATTTCAAGCCTTCAACCAAAAAAAATATAATGCAAGGAAAACAGAAACACAAATACACAAAAATACAAAAACAAAACATAAACAAAAAAAAATGAAAACTAGGAGCTAATTATAAGAAAAGGGAGGGAGCGAGCTCTGTGCACCTGACGAGTGATAGTAATCTCGTCATGCTCCTCATAACCGATGGGGCTGCGCGATTTGTCAGCATTAGAGAACACAATCGACACAGTGGCCTTAGTTACTCCGGCCTGCCCTTGCTTGTACACCAACTCCTGCAAATTAGCCACTCTGACCTGCTGCAAGTTGGTAATTCCCATAACGAAACAGATAGAGTCCAAGATATTGGATTTCCCAGAGCCATTGTACCCCGTAATGGCATTGAACACCGGGTCGAAGTTTGTCACCGTCGTCCGCGTCGCGTACGACTTAAACCCCTCCAGACATATCTCTTTGATGTACATAGCTCCCTGACAACCAGAAAACACCCCTGGCAAGTTGTTCCACCGGTTCCTCCCAGAAACTAACCTTTGCTACGAAAACCAAGTATAACTAAACCACTAGTCGACCATGGCGATAGCGATCCGCAGACGAGCGAGCTCCGGGCGACATCAACAAATTCAAAACAGAAATGGCCTCGGAAGCCGAGAAAGAAAGTCTTGCAGTTTCAAATTTTGGGCGCATGTTCTGCGCTCAAAAAGGGCGCGGAGATTTTGCGGAGGGCACGCCCGTTCCGGTCTAAAATTGTCGAAGTCTCTCTCGACTAATTCCGGCGGGCGCGCATATGTTGGTGTTCGTTTTGCCACCCGGCCCGGAATCGCACCTTTCACCCTCTCAGGTCTCATGGTGACGTCAATCTTTCTCATACACTACCTTTTTTCTAAGATAATGGATCCTACGTAATTGTGTAATCCTTCCAAAATAATTAAAGCTGCACTTTTATGTATAAATTTCAATGCATTATTGTTTTCAAACACTTGAAATATATATATATATAAGTGCAGCTTTAATTATTTATACATCCTTTTTCAGTTAAATTGGTTTGAAAACTTCTAAATCATTTTGAAAACAATAACGTAAATAAATTATAAATTATAAAATAATGGAATAGTGTGAAAAATATAGTGTGAAAAAATTATCTACAAAATCTGCATTACACACATCAAATTTTCAGAAGCTTCCCAAAAGTTAATTTTTATTTTTTTGTGATGCTACTGGATAATTAATTTCATATATATATATTTCAAGTGATGAAATAGTTGAGGTGGCATGAGAAATAGCTGAGGTGGCTTGAGAAATAGCTGAGGTGGAAGATTACGTGGCAGGAAATGGTCTGTTCCGACTTGCTTTCTGGTTTACCTTCGGAACCAATCAAATAGGAACGGGAACAGCATTCAAATTTGCGCTGTCCAGTGCTCAACTTCATAACTCACTTGCTTGTTTTCTGTGTTATATGTTATTTGTGGAGATGCAAGTTTGAGTCGTTGCCACAATGCAGCAACAGGCTCTGGTTCCAGGTGCACTCTCCAAACCATCATTCTATGCGCTTTGGAATTTGTGGTTGCGGCATAGAAACAAAGAATTCTGCGACGTGACTCTGCTCTAAAAGTTGGATAATTCTGCGATCGATCCAAAACCCTAACAGTCGTGTGAACTCTTAGCGTACGTTGGCGGATTTTGTTGAATCGCCAGATTGGGGGTTAGACACGATTACCGCATTTTTAATGTCGATCTTCTACATAGCGGGTCGAAGCCGTATTTGATAAACAAAAAATAGAAAACAAAATGGGGCGGCGTCGAGCGATGTAGTTAGAGGGTTCAAGTTTGCTCTGTGACTGTTAAAGCTCTGATTGAGATTGTGAGAGTCGCTTGGGCAGTCACCAAGCTCGTGAATACAAGGTCGTTTCCAAGTTTGAAAGGAAATTGGTTGAACATTCCCCTCTCCGATGGTGCACACAGCTGATACTCGGCTGGATTGTGTGTTTTGTTACGTTTCTGGCGTCATTGTCGATGACTTTGATACTTTAATGAGGAGCTCAAAATGATGTTGTTTTGAACTTTAACCTCGCTGCGAATGTATCGAGCTTGTGAATAATTTCAGATACTAACCCTATAGGTTTAGTTGTACGTACGGTGGAATGACTTTCGATCCTCTTCAAGTTTGCTGTGGTTTTCTTGCTGTGCTTGAGGTTCAAAATGTGTGAATTGGTCTGCAATCACCCGGTTTAACATTCACCCGGCCAAATGCTAGTACTTAATAGAACATTTTGTAGTATAGATCAGGTAATCCTGGCACATACTTGACACCAGTTTGTATAGTCAATCTCGGATGATGTTTATGAGGATGTTGGATTAATGTTGGTCACGTAATCAGGGGAAGTGAATGTAGAGACGCTGCTTGAGAAGATCACAGTAATACGAGGGAAGAACATACCTTTCTTTCGCCCGAAGCGCGCACTTCTTACCACTGAAGCATCTTTGGTATCTTAAGAAATTCCCTCCTCTCAAAATCATATGCATCATAGCTCATGTGACCTTAGTATTTAATTTTCTTTGAAGTGAATTAGATATTGATGATTAGTGATAAACCGACTTGAAGATATTTTTTAGTCGCACGAAGAAATTAGTCTCGTTAGCAATTCTCTCTGCTCTCAGCTGTAGTTCAGATCCAGTCTTGTGATCATTCTTTCCTAACGTAGCGCGTTAATGCTAAGTCTTATTTTATTTATTTATTTATTTTTTTCTGTCTGAAGAGGTCTCCACGATCATGCTAACAAAACACGAGAACCTACTTCTACGTCCAGGTAAAGCATGTCCTATACATGCTTCAAGGGTTTGCTAGTCTGCACTTCCCGTGGGATGAAGTTAACCAGAGATTTTCAATCGAGCAAGGCCTCCATGTCTCACACCTTTCAATATCGAGTCTCTTCAACTTGCTTACGCCATTCACAGCTGCAGCTACCTGCTTACGAAGAGTGGAGATTTTTGTTAAGAAGGTGGCAGCTGAATCTACTGGCAGCTGGTTAAAGTCAAGATCTCACACTCTACCAACACTGGAGGCTTTCGCTAATGCTGTAGCTATGCGTCTTGAGGTAGGTGGAAATCTTTTGTAGTTAAGCAGATTCTTCAGTCATTGAGTTGTTTAAATCCCGACCGCTGCATCTTATAACTTTTCGTCGAGTTGCAAATATTGGTAACATAAGCGATCTTTGATTTATCGATACCTTTCGCAAGAACCATGGGGTCTACATCATTTGGGTCATTTGTGGATCTGGATGGATTTTTGACTTTTCGGTTTGTAGATTACATTTGTGATGGAAAAATTGATGGAATCATCCTCTGAACAGTAAGGTAAACAGGTTAGAAGTACGTTCTTGTGATATCATCCAGTTCTTTTCACTGAATGTTTCCTACCTCTGTAATTTGATGAATATTTATGCTCAACTGATTGAACAGTGTTTGCGCAAGCCTGCATTGGAGAAGGAATTAGAGGCAGTTGCTGGTGGAGCAGGAACATCAGTTACGCTTTTGAGCCTCTTGGCAAGCATGTCCTGGTTAGTGATTGTGATACGTTTTCCCAGTTGAATTATTCCTAAAATGCTGCTAGGCTTTTCTTTTTTAACCTCGTACAAAACTTTGAAGCTTACTTTTAGTCATCAAGAATTTGGAGATGTATCCTACAAGCTGGATAAACAGGGTGTTTGCAGGGGCTGAGTTCCTGATGGCTGTCGTGCTGAACGCTGTACCGGAATTCGATCTCCTCTACAGCAAGAGGAGAAGTGCAGCAGAGGTTGCAGCTCATATTTTGACGTCACTATATGATCAACTTAATGACATTTGTCTTCTGGAGGATGGGGAGGTATCATGCAGTTCAGCGATCTCTCGTTTGAGATGTTTAGATGCCAATGTGATTGCTCAGAGTGTTGCTGCTGTCTTCTCCTTCAGTCTATGCTTGTTTGCAGGGTTGTCTTATTATTAGCTAGTCTTTTCCGGTGGGTTATTGGGTGTGTGCTTTTATTAAGTGTCTACAGCTTTACAACCCCAACAAAATTTATAAATTCTAGAAGTTGATGTACATTGAATCACTGAGTAGTTGTTGTTTATGATTTCCTTCTGTGACACTACTATCCAATATAAACTTGTCTTAATGATAGGAAGAGGCATACCGGACAATATTGCTGCTCTTCGTAGGCACTCTACGACCGCTTACCAAATCTTTGGATGCTTGGTTACAAGAAGGCACTCTTAGCGACCCATCTGGAGAGGTAATGAGTCCCCAGTGATGAGATCCTTTTTGGCATATTGTTTTTCTTGATTCAACCGAGTTGATAGTTATGTCATCGTTTACAGTCTCCTTCGAATATATTAGTTGTTATTTGCTAATAATATCTCTGGATTTCTACCAGCTTTTTTTTTATGCAGATTACGGCGTCCCCATTGAGGATTCTGCATTTTGGCAGCGAGGTTATCAACTGCGACGGAAAACTAAATCTGATGCTGAAAAACACTCAAATCCAGGACACACTTTTTCGAACGAACACTCTACTGGAACTTCAGAGAATATTCTCTTGAGCCAGAAGAGTTCCTCTCGGTCAACTCTGGAGCCTGGCAGTCCAAGTCAAGTACTATCAAGCCCAAAGGGTAAAAGTACAGCACATGTAATTGGGTTTTTTTGACGACCGTATTCTCTTCTAGTACCTTCAAGACCTTACTTGTATTGAAGATCACTGTTATCAGGACTCTGACATGATATTTGGGCTATGCCTGTACAGTGCCAAGAACTGAGTTGACTTGGGGGAGTTCAGCTCATGAGATAGAAGACCTCATATGCCCAATATTTTTACAATGCCTTGCCAAAACTGTGGTGTCCGCTGGAAAGTCACTTCAGTTGCTTCAACATGTTTGTCGAGGGAAAGGTGAAGGAGAACGTCTGCCCGCATCGTACTCGTCTACAGCATCCCCTTCCCTTCCTCATACACCCTTTTCTCTGGTGAGCCAGGAGAATTCGTCAGCTGGAGGAGAGGTACGTATGGCTTGGCATGGCATCGCATGCCATTTTTGGGTCGTCAGATGACTGCACACATTTTCCTTTTAAGATGGTCTTTACTGCTCACTTTTGACCGCGAGGCTAGTAGTGTTTGATTCTGTATGAAGCGGGAAATCTCAAACTTTTTTTGTTACTTGCGTGAACAGGCATCCACTGGGCTCCCATCTTCCCACCCACTTCATGAAAACATCTTTCCGAACTTCACTGAGGATCTATTTCCTGACCCAGGGGAGCTTTCTACTCAACAGTCGCAAGTACCTCTCTATGAAGAATTATGTACCTCATTACGGAGGCTTGTGGCCCGTGACTGTACCAGGCCAATTATTTCAAGCTTAGAACCAGATGACGAAACAATTGACTTAGTGGGTACGAAGCCAGCATCAAAGTCAGGGAATTATATGGAGACATTCTATGAAATACAGGCAAGATTTGGATCGGGCCCTTAATTGTGAATTTCTTTTGTGTTTATGCTCATCTGAGCAAATTAAGTGGTCATTTTTGTGTCTATGAATATATTCGCTTTTGTTTTGTAGTTTCTCCTTCGACCAGTCTAGCACTAGTCAGGGTCTTATGAATGGCACGTCAATGACCATGTTTAATTCGTTAAGCGACAGAAGGAAGGTCCTTGTATTATCTGGCATGTTGGAATGTTATCACCACATTCTACCTGATGTCGAAATGGTTACTGTTCGAGCCAGGTTTGATCGCTTGGTGCACATTCAGCATACCTTAACTTTAAGGTCCATGTATTTCGACCAGATGCATTTGCATATTAGAAATTAGTAACTTACCTTTTTGTTTTGGCAATCCTTGTCTTAACGTGATTCTTCCTCAAAAGCAGGAAGCAAGACGTCGACATAAGGAGCTTCGGTATATATGGAGTAGGGAACAACTCATCGAGGATGATCAGAACAGGGACGAAGCCTCTTTGCATGAGACTAATCTCACACCTCATCCAGATGGGCAATCTATAAGATTCCAACTGTCTTCCTATAGTACATTATGTACCACCGCTAGTGGCAACGACCAAGAACGGCATCCTAATCTTGTCTGTGATCAGGGATCAGAAGTTGCTAAGCTGCAGTATCAATCAGGATCTATCAGATTGCAGAGTCCAACAGGTTTGAATCTTCTGCTCTTTATTTCAGATCAATGCTGTATAGATCAGTCTGTTATTATTTGCTTGTGTATGTAGTGATGTGCTCTTTGAGACCATTTAGCACTTGATGAGTAAGTTCATGTATTCGGTTTTTTTTTTATGTAAACATAAACAGGTTTTCAAAATGATTTCCAACCAACATCTTTCAATGTAAGCAAGCCACAATCATCTACTGCTGGTTTATTTTCCGCTTTAAATGCAGACAGTGTGGTGGAGGTGTCTGAAGAGGATTCATGGCGTATGAAGCTAAGCGCGAACACAAACAGTCAGCTCCCTCCCTTGAACGACTCAGAGCTGTGGGAAAGTATATTCGCTATAGATGAGTTTGACGAGAACCAGGATGTTGAAGCTAGTGCAAGTTCCCCTGACAGTGTTTTAGATGACCAATCTGGATTCAGAAAAGGCAGAGGAAACAAAAACGCAAGTCAGAAGCCAAGAGATAGATTAGTGGTCGCCACCGATTATAGTCGTGGTGAGGGATGTGGCAAACTCGTGTCCACGCTTTTTGGGGAGGACCTGAAAGTAATGGAGCGTTTAATGCACAGCTCAACTGAATTGCCATCTTTTAAGGTATGTGTTGTGGAACACACGTTGCGTTGATTACGATTTCTTAAATTCTTTATAAATATACACCGATAGTGACTAATGGACAAGTTGATTCATTATATCTCATGCTAATAACACTGCACCTTACGACCAGAAGAGCCGTGAAGTTCTTTAATAAAACCTTATTTTTTGCTAATATATGGCAATCATTTTTGACGTGCCACAGGAAAAGAAAGAAATTTCAGAGTTTATTGCACCACATCAGCACAATCAAATGGCTGCTCAAATGCTGGATTGGCTTCAACAAGTGGATTTTAAAACTACTCCGTCTCCTGCTGTTCTTGTGCAAGAGTGCTTGATCCTCTCCATCGAAAGACGAGTACTACTCTGAAACCTTTCATCTCAACAGACGCTCCAAGGCAAGCCTTGGTCCGCTGTGAAGATAATACCCAAAGATTTATACTAGTGGAACTGTATCTGTAGCACGATTCGGTGAAGATATGCTCTGAAACTTCCAATCGTTATTTACTCCCATCCACACAAATGTTATATGGATGTGATTTTTATGTGGAACCCTCTAAGAGTAAACATGTGTATGCTGAAGGGCTATGTAAAGTGAGCTGTTCCTTCAGTTGGTGGAAAGTGCAGTCTCAAGTTCTTACATGTAGGGGCTTCTACCAACCAGTATATCTTTCATCTCTTTAGGAGTTATTTCATAAGTACTGAGTGTAGCGATAAGCAATCACTTTCTTAGTGAGTCAAAGAATTATCTTGATGATATATAATATGATCTGTTGGTTGTTGCGGGTGGCAGGTACATTCAATTGGTCAGCAATTGTTAGAAAGGTTGATGGGAGAGTGGCGCCTTGTAGAAGAGCTTGCTCTTCTTCGTGCTATCTACTTAGTAGGCTCTGGTATAACTTCTTTCCGTCTGCTCGTGTGTTTGCAAAAGGAGATATAGGTGGTGAGGGGAATTTTAGTTTTCAAGTTTTTACATCCTTTCATATCTGTTAAGGAAGTATGGTATGGGCTTGAGAAACATTGTTTAAATTAATTGCGTCCTTAAAGTTTAAAATATTTTTTGAATTTACTGGGCAGATGTTTGGGTTAGTCGTGTCCTCCTTTCGAAGTTGTTCCTTACCTCACGACAATTGGGGATTGATTTTTGTTAAATTCAATACAGCCTGAAGCTGTATAATATGTGGTGAATTAGTAATCGGAGCTTGTCCTTCTGGGTTGCCTGGTCAGGTGATTTATTACAGCAATTTGCATCTGTCCTTTTCAACAAACTGGATCGAGGGGAGAGTTGGGACGACTATTATGAGCTTAACACCATGCTCCAGGTACCGATTTATGATGAAAAATATCATGTTCATTGTCTTAGTGATGATATACATGTGAATGTTGCTTGAATAGAATAGTGGATTCTTTATTCCTTTGATTAAAGCTCAGTTTAATGTTGATCTTTAGAGCTGAAATGCAGTCGTAGTAGCACAAGTATTGGCATGCATTACTATCTAGGAAGCTTCATCAATTCTAAGTATTCACTTCATTATTTCAGAAGTACTAACACAGTGCTATGAAGCAGTTCCTTCTTTTGCGACTTTAGTCTTAATTTCTTTTTCTTTTTCTTTTCCTTTTACCCTTTCTCTACAGGAATCCGTGAGAAGCTCTGCTCATGGTATGACCTCTCCTGCACTTGAATCATTAGTGGTTTCAGTGGAGTCAGGCCAACTCACGCTTGGAAACTCTCCGAGCCCAATTCGCGGTTACAACACAATGCCACTTCAGGTTACTGGTCGAAGTCCAACTGCTTCTATCGATACTCTGGATTCTCTTCGGTTCTCTTACAAGGTTAGTCATCCCAGTATTGCCTTTGACCTAATGAAGCACTGGTGCTTATTGGCACACTTTCTGCTGATTCGTTACGACGGTTTCTAAGTGCCTGGCAAATCAGTGTCTACTGCAACGACATAGTGTTAAGTACAATCTTAGTTAACATTTTGGTTTATTTTATTTTATTGGGCAGGTTGCGTGGCCATTAGAACTTATTATAGACAGCAATGCCATCAAGAAGTATAACCAGGTGAGCTCACTTGGCTGAGATGTTTTCCTTCAACATTGCAGGAACTTGATTGTGGCATTTACACTATCGAGGTTTCTGATTTTATGGTCTAATTTTGCTGCACTTATTCATCCTCCTCTGTAGTCTTTGATTTGAATTTCTCGTCATTCTAATAGTTATTTAACGGGTCAAACTCAAAAAAATTATGTGATGCTAGAAGGAACTTCCATGTTATACCTTTAGAATCATCAAATTTTTGAATCAATACACAGCTTTATTGAACAAGTAGTGCAAGTTGGTCTAGGTTGTTGTACCTTCATGCAGTTACAAAGGTGGTTTGCAGGTTATGACTTTCTTGATGAAAGTAAAGCGAGCCAAGCATGCCCTTGATAAAGCGTGCCGCTGGACATGGAAGGTTACTTTCTATTTTCTCACTTGACCTCTTACCGTTTGAAATAGGCAGTTTATATCAGTATTTATTTAGGTTTCAAAATATTGATGTCGTAGGATCTGAGATTTTGAACGACCTTTCAATGCATTGATAAATTGTATGTTAAGAGATGCCGCAATGTCTTGAACGGACTTTGCTTCATAACCTCATCAGATACTGGTATCAATGAACTTTTGAGTTAGAAGGCGTCTTGGTTGTAAGTCGCAGAATGGAGGTGGTGACGCCGCCCATCACAAGCAGCGCTTATTGTTACAGCAGAAATTGATGCATTTTGTCAATACTCTGCACCAATATGTCATGGACCAAGTAAGTTTCTCTGTTGATCCTCAGCACGTTCAATAAAGACGCCGACTTAAAGAACATCAGCTTTTACCAATGGTTTCACACGGTTCTTTCTTGGTACAGGTTTTATACAGTTCTTGGCTAGAGCTTTCTGAGGGCATGGCTTCGGCAGGATCACTTGATGAAGTCATTGCCTACCATGACGCCTACCTGGTATCTATTCAGCGACAGTGCTTAGTTGCTCCAGATAAACTGGTAGGGATTCCTTGGCTGTTTGCTATTATGACATTCCTATTGCTTTATGTTATCTGCTAGCCATGTAGCCTATTAGACTTGATCCTTTTGAAAATGAACAAAATAAAATACCTCCTATCCATACTGGATAAATTTGTCGCAGAATAAGTCCCTCCAACACAATATTGTCCACGACTTTTTTAACATATGCAAGTGTGATGATCAGTGGGCTCTTATTGCTGGTCGGGTCAAAGCTATACTGGGGCTTGCGCTGGAGTATTACTCAATTCAGAGGACTTTATGTGATGGAGTAGCAGCTCCTAACACAACTGCTCGATGTCAGTCTGACCTAGAGCGTGTGGAGCGCCAATTTTACGAGTGCATGGTTTTTCTTTTACGAGTAATAGCTCTCTCTCAAAACGGTGTTCTTATTTTTCTAAAGCGGTATCTATTTCTCGCCTGCCCCAACGCGTCACTACAGGTTTTGGGTTTCTGACAAATACTCTTTGAATGCAGGTCCTATCTTTCAATCTAAACGTGGGCCACTTCCCGCACTTTAGCGATCTGGTGACTCGGATCAACTACAATCACTACTACATGACACCTGACCGCCAGATCTTGACTCCAATTCCCGACACTCAAGCTCACTTGTCACGGCGACCTACTCGTCGAGTTTGATCTGCTCGTGCTGGTCTTCAAATTCAATGTCGATTGCCGTCTGCTTTTAGACAATCCCAGTATATTCAAACCCATGGATGTAGCCCAGCTGCATGTACATACGTACCAATTTAGGTTACTCAGGTTATTAATTGAGTTATTTTCTATAGAATGAGGTATTATCTGATGATGATACATTTTTCAGATTTAAATTTGAGTAAAGTAATATCGTAATTAATGCCATTGAACAGGTGTACCTATGACTTCAGAAGTTTTGTATGCGCCATTCGAATTCGTATCTGAATACTCCAAATGGGCTTCAGAAGTTAGTCCAATCCAAGGCTTTTATTTATTTATGGATTATGTCTTAAATGAAAAGAGGTAACAGCTAGAATAAGACGTTAAGTTATTAGTTGAACATAGAAAATAAGGAATCTAAGCTGGTTGCTTTTCAAGTTTCTCTCTGAACTCTTGATTACACCAGAATTTTCTCGTATGTGCACACAAGGATCTCGTGTACACAACTCACAGATTGTTCCTTCCAGTTAACTCCTTATATCAATAATGAAAACTTTTAACATACATTCCAACTCACACATCCCTCGAATAAGATGAAATTTTTTAAAATATTTTGAAACTTTTCGTCCACTTCAAGTACAAGTACCAAAACAATAGCTCTGCTGTTCGTGGAGGTTTGTGGGGTGTGCTCAGGAATTGTTTTGGCACAATAGTGACAGCCACTGGTTGATGATTTTCTGTGACTTTCCCTTCACCCACGCAACAGATAACCTCCCACACAGGATTGTTTTTCTTGTACAATGCTGTTAAAAAGTGCGTAGAAGCATATTCAAAGAAGGAATAGGTCGTCTCCTTGCGATTTTTCCACAAATTAAAAAACAGCCACTTTACCGAACACGCCTCCACTGTACGCAAGGGTTTCATCTAGAGACTAGAATGGCGTGCATATCACAGTTAAAAGCCAACGAAAGATAACTCAACAATCCAACACCGACGTACTCTTTTTTGGATATTTTTGGGTGATCTCCAGAATTTGGTATAAAGTCTATTATCGGCACATACCGGCACAATAAGGCAGGAGTGAGAAGCTCTTTTTTGTAGAGTTTGAGTTTCATCTTTGCATGCACTGGTAGGGAGTTGAGGGCAGATTTGAGTAGTTTTTTTGCAGCCATGGAGAGTCGAGGGTTACTTCTGGTGGGAATCGTAGTGTTGGGATTTGCTGGGTTTGCAGCATCCTTGCCGACTGGAGACACAATCCGGGAAGTGACCGACGATGCACTTTCCAATGGCTCCGTGGAGCAGTTTGCGCATGCTCTAATTGGAGCCGAGAAGCGGTTCGAGAGCTTCATGAAGGATTTCGGAAAGGTGTACCATAGCGTGGAGGAGTATGAGCACCGCTTCGGGGTCTTCAAGAGCAATTTGTTGAAGGCGTTAAAGCACCAGGCGCTCGACCCAACTGCGAGCCATGGCGTGACGATGTTCTCGGACTTGACGGAGGAGGAGTTCACGAGCAAGTACCTCGGTTTGAAGCGGCCGTCTGTTCTTTCCTCTGCTCCACAGGCGCCGCCTCTACCCACCGAGGACCTGCCGCCCAATTTCGACTGGAGAGAGAAGGGCGCCGTTGGTCCCGTTAAGGATCAGGTACTTAGTCGGAACACCCATTGAATTTCTATTGTTCTACACTGATGATTCTTTTTTTCCCTTTTCCTTGTCCTTTGATTTGGCAGCGGAGAAAGAACCTCAGGCTTGATTCTATTGAATCGTGTTGTGATTCTGCTCATGTTCTTGGTGGGTTGCTGAGCTTTCTCGGTGGCTTTTGAGTTATGCAGCTGTTTTCAAAGTGGAGGGTTCTTACAGTTTTTGTTTATTGAAATGTATCAGGGGGGTTGCGGTTCTTGCTGGGCTTTCAGCACCACGGGTGCAGTGGAAGGGGCTCACTTTTTGAATTCTGGCAAGCTTGTGAGTTTGAGTGAGCAGCAGTTGGTGGATTGTGATCATCAATGTGATCGCGAGGAAGCGGATGCTTGCGATGCTGGATGCAACGGTGGCTTTATGACAAACGCTTACCAATACGTTGAAGCAGCCGGAGGTTTGGAACTTGAGTCTGATTACCCTTACGAGGGTCGAGACGGAAAGTGTAAATTTGATTCAAACAAGGTTGCAGTGAAGGTTTCAAATTTCACCAACATTCCTGTTGATGAAGATCAGGTGGCTGCCTATTTAATCAAGAGCGGACCCCTTGCCAGTAAGTTGCTCTACACATCTCCTCTTCCGTTCTTCCCCGTCTGCTTTTATTTATTTATTTATTTATTTATTTCGCTCAAGAAGTTTGTGTGCCATTTATACTACTTTTCTTTAGGACTGAGATATAGTGACGTATGCCCTACGTAATTTTTTTTTCATGTGATTGATTCCAAACGTGTTTGTGAATATTCTTCTCATTTGCGAGGTAAAATTTTTAAGTTTTGAGATTTTCAAACATTCCGAGGTTATGAAACGTCCAGATTGGATTGTGTGCTCTCGAGGTCTTTGGATACAAGACTATGAAAGTGGTGATGACGACGTAAGGATCGGAACAATTCTTGCTAATAGAATTGATTCATTATGTGCAGTTGGTATCAACGCCGAGTTCATGCAAACTTACATTGCTGGAGTTTCATGTCCAATCTTCTGCAACAAGAGGAACCTCGACCACGGTGTCCTGTTGGTTGGTTATGCTGAGCGTGGATTCGCTCCGGCGCGTCTTGCCTACAAGCCTTATTGGATAATCAAGAATTCATGGGGGCCAAATTGGGGAGACAACGGCTACTATAAGATTTGCCGTGGTCACGGAGAGTGTGGTTTGAACACCATGGTTTCTGCTGTGTCTGCCTCTGTTGATGCGTAGATTCCTTCCTCAGGTGTTATATAAGTCTTTGTTCCGTCTGATGGAGCATTCATCTAATGCCTTTTCTTGAAGAAAAAGTCGAAACTGAGAACTTGGCTTGCAACTGAGACACTTCCTGGTGTATAGATTGAGTGTGTTACAAGCTGGGAGTGAGGAAAGAAGCTGGATCTGAGGCTTAAGAATTTATATGCAGCTCCACAATACCACTGTTCAGAGTGATAGTGATCAGTTGGTGTATGCAACTCTGTTTGCAGTACAGAGATAGTATTTTATCTCCAAATTGTACAGTAAAAAAAGTGATCTATTAGTAGACCTTTGGATCATGCAGGTTTTTGATGTGAAGTATCCAAAATTACTTAAGTAATGAGAACATGCGATTATGCATAAACTGTCTTTGTTAATTCTGAGGAGGAGCTTTCTCTTTCTGTGTTGGGTTATGTTTTGTCACATCCACTGGGTGCTGATATGGCAGCCGTAGAGCATCAAATTCAATGGTGTGTTCAAAAGTCAGAAATAATCTCGTTTTAGAAAAAAATGTCTTAGTACCCCTGGTTGTCAAGCGATACTGTTAAACTATGCACATGTTAGCAGATTATTTAAGCAACTGCAAATGTGAGATGTCTTCAAATTCCGTGGTTGGTCTTTTTATTCCCATTGACGAGCATGTAAACTGATCATGTTGCGAATTTAAATGTTCAACTTCTAGCAATCAGGAAAAGTTAATTATACTGAGTGAAGTATATATATATATATATATAAAATTAGTGTTCTTTGATAATTGATATCATTTGTTGCAGAAATATAAATATTGAAGGAAGTGATTAATAATAAGCGGTGGCGAATTGCAGACAAAATGATCAAATCGGCCTTGAAGAAGTGTAGGATGCTCGCTCGCTGCTTTGCCTCGCCGCAACGACTGTGTGATACTTGTTGCGTGCTCAGCTTCCTCTCATTGCAATTCTAGGAAGCTCTCGTGCTTTCTAGCAATCCGTGAGTGAGTGAGTTGCATGTGGATGCGTGCTTCTGAGAGATGGGTGCATTACAAGCGCAGCTCACGCTTGATCGGAGCGCGATCCTGGCCTGTAGAAGCACTTCTGACACTATTTCTGGCATGTTTCGGTTGTAAAAATTGAAGTCCTCGGAGATTTGAGCCTTTGATGGCTTGTGATCCTGTGTTATGCAGCTTTCTGTCGTGTTTTTCAAGTCAAGTTGAATGTGTTTTAGCGCCTCTCCAACTTTTTTTTTTTTTTTTTTTTTTTTTTAACTGTCGGAACGTGAGCCATTACGGGAAAGTGGCTAATTCAAGTTGCAAATAGTGTGGAGCAGGACTGCTGGTAACAAGGAGTTGTTTGATCAGTTAAGCCGTCCTTGGTTTAGTTTATGTTGAAACTCCTGATCCCATTCTCTTCGTGATGATTTAAGAGGAATCGAGTTCCATCTCAGTTAGAGTCTACAATATTAATATTGTCGTGCTTCCAGGTTCATGATCTAGTCTATGCAGGATCCTTCCACTAGTCTCATTGACGACGCGTGGTTGTGTGAGGATTACGGTTGTGGCTTTGGAGTCGAATTTCAGCAAAATTAGCAATTTTACAACAGGTTGAATGCATCAGTCACTTGTGCTGGACCTCATACTATTTTTTGACTGAGTCGATTGTTCTGAATAGATCATGTTCAAACCTGACTTGAAATTCTGTAAATCCAAACGGAATCTCTTCTTTTGCGGCACTTACACACAACTATTTGTATCGGTACGTGCAGGCATTGGGACTCATCAAATTTGTTGCTGGTAAAGCAGGCAAAGAGTTTCGTCGCAAAATTCAACGTCAGGCTGCAGCAGTTCGACAGTTATTACATTACAAGTTAAAAATTGTTTCACCTTGCAAGTCTAATAATATGCTTTCAGTTGTTTTAGACTGGTCTATTTACAATTACAGTTTTGGTGAACATTCTAACTGTCGGTTACGCAAGTCTAATGAAAAAGTTCTTCATGATTTAAGATCTTTATCTGCAAGTCGAGAAGTTCTTCACCATCTTTAGAGAGGTATTCCTTTGGAATAACAGTCTTTTTATTTTATGCAGGGGAGTACGGGATGCTTTGAAAGGAGATGCTTTGAACAAAGCTGACGAATCCCTTCAAAGATTTTCATTTTGCATGTCATGGTTCAGATGAGAAGAGACTTTGCCTACTACAGATTCGCATTTCAGAGATGATTAGATGACGATGAAGACATGGGCAGACTAATCACTGAACTTGTATGAGTGGTTCTAAAAGCAAAGTAGTCTCTCGTTTGAGATAAAATGTGCTGTTATAAGCACAGAGTACACGACGGTTGCAGTGGTGGTGAAAATTGCGAAGTTGACACCACGTTTGTGTGCTGAGTCGTTAAAAAACCTTAAATAAGCTTCAATGAAGGGAAACCTGAACGCCTGTTAGCTGCAGGATTATTATTTCATCAGGTACGGCATTCTTTGATTCTTGCATGTTGAAGCTAATATTGAAAGATAGGAAAATGTTGTGCTTTGTTTTTTAATTTTCTGATTGAGTGTCACCTTCTTTCTTTTTTTTCTTTTTTTTTTTTTTTGTTTTCAATCCAAGTTTCAAGGCCTTCATTTGAGATTTGTGTGAACAAAAAGCATCTTTACAATTTGTTTTCATTGGTTGCTCTACCAGATTAATTGTGCAATAGGAGTTGGTTTTTAGGCAAAAAGTATACAAAGGTAACAGTACTCTTTTTTACTCTATTCAACAATTAAATTTTCTACTCATTTAATTTTATTTTCTTCTCTCTCCTTTTTTTTCTACCATGTATCTTAGATCAAACTTGAACAATGTCCAAAAGCTTAAGACTTGTTACCATAAAATAAATAAATAAATAAACAATTCCAAAATGTCACTTATTATCCTTGTCAATTGGGCTAAAGAGGAATTCCACCATGTGAAATCACTAATCTAAGGCACAATTAGCAACATCCTTAACAAATATTAATTACATTTACAAAGGGATCACAAAAATATGGCAGCAAAACGCATCCATATTATCCACCATCTCCAACTTAATGAAGCTCTTGCTAATTTGATGTTATGATGTTAAACAAGGAAAATTGTACTTTTTTTAGAATTAATAAAATAAAAAGATATATATATATATATATATATATTAATTGGGTGATATTACACTAGAATTTTTAAATTCCAAAGTTGCTATAGATTCCACACATCCAAACTATATAGAGAAGGTAGATTAGTTAATATTGTGGCTATTGAGAAAATTGTGCTCTCTATATAAGCAAAATTTCTATAATATGTTGAACAAGACATCTATAATATACATAAAACATGTCTTTCTTACTAGATGGCATGAAATAAAAGTATTGCATACTAGCAAATTGAAGAGTTAAGGAAGGTAAAATATTACAAATATTAATATTTTTTTTATGCTATTGCTTTAATAATGTAGAATAGTAAAGCAAAACAATGTAGAATGACAAATACTAAAGTCTATTGTCTTCTTTCCAATACTACTTCCAAGATCCAAGCAATGGATATTGGAATTATTGTTATATTTAAGAAAAGATATTGATGCATCCAATTCTAAAATGCTATTGACAAGAATGAACAAGGAGAGACAAATATTTACAAGATCAACCAATTAACAAGAATAAATTAATGCAAATTAGCATAGAGTAGAATCTTAAAGTCTACTATTAAAAACTACTTTCAATAAATAAGATTCTTTCAATCAAGACGAAGAAGAAATAAAAAAAAAAAGATTCAATTAATGTCATATAATAATTTTTATGTACAAATCATATATTTATTGAAGTTACATCTAATGGAAAAAAAAAAAAAAAAAAAAAAAAAAAAAAAAAATGCATTATATGAGCTTTTTGATGAAGATCTACTTGGTATTATTACATCATATAAAATTATAAAAGTTCCAATGAAAGTGGATCAAAGTAGAGAGCCAACTCTGATTTGAAAAGAAGAGTTATATGTTCTTTAAGCTACTATTTCTCATTTAGATCTATACAAATCCATAAATATTATTGCCTTCAAGGTTTTGCACAAGCTATACCAAGAACTTTGAATTGTCAATTACCAAAAAATAACATTAGATAGTTAGATTGTATAAGTACTTACATTGATTCATTGATAAATTTTAATGAGGATCTATTAGTTATTAGATATTAAAGATTATTGATTATACACCACAAAATAGAGATGATTCTCAAAATTTTAATTAATTAATCAAGGTTATTAATTATTAGAGGATTCATTATTATGATAAGCATTATACATGTATTATCTCTTATTTATAATTTTTATTTTTGTTTTGATAAAATATTAGTAACAAAAATAAAAATAAAATAAAATTTATTGGAAAAATAAAATAAATTATTGATATTTATGGCCTTGATAGAACACATAATTTCACATATCTATTGGAGAGTCATATATAATTTTCAATAGCAATGGAGCAATGTACAAATGCATGGAATACTAAAGTAATATGTCAATATCTTCTTAACAATTTTGACAAAAGTAGAATTGTCAATGTTATTACAAAACAATTCTATTGACTATAATTTTCTATTTTTTATTTTCAAAATAAATTAGATTAAAGATAAAAAAATAATTTTAAATCAAAAAATATATTATTTTATAGCAATAAAATTATTTTAATTCTTAGTGTTATCTTAAAAAATTAAATAAGATTAAAAAAAAGCTATTAAGATAGTTTTATACTTGCACCTAATTTTTTTGAAAAATAGAAAAAAATATAAAAAAAAAAAAAAAAAAAAAAAAAAAAATGCAACTTCTATTGGCATTATTAAAATTAAAATTTATTTAACTATCTAAATATATTTCTTTGGTCTCTTTATTTACTTAAAATTTACCAAAATAACAATGTTGTTTGAAGTGATTCTTCTTTATTCTTAGTTTTTCATAAAAAACACCTTCAAAATATTTTTAAGTCATTTATTAGAAATTTCATAATATACCTCAAAAACATCCATAAATACCTTTCAAAAATATCATATAATATTTTTATCTTTAGGTTATATTGTAATATCTTTCAAAGTGTAGAATAAGATTGTAAGGGAAAAAAAACATTAAATTATAAATAAAATTTTGAAAACATGAAAAACACAAATAATACAAGATAATTATATAATTTTATTTTTTAAAAATATTATTCCTATTAAAATGATAATTTTATATATATATCTAAATTTTTAATATTTAATTTTTTAAAGCTATACATATATATATATATATATATATATATATATATATCATATAGTTTTCTTATTAACTTATAAATACATATATATATATATATATATATATATCATAGAAATAAAATTAAAAAAACAAACAAACAAGCAAAAGAAA